GAAGAACACTGCTCTGGATGACAAGTATATAATAGGAATGCTAAACAAGCTGTTTTGTTTTCTTTCCTTTTCAGTATCAGTATTGTCTTTGTAAAACTGTGTCATTCCATTTAGGCTACTGTCATGCTCCTTATTTTGGTGTTGTCACAACAACAAAAAATGTGATGATGAATTGAGAAAACAGCAGTGATAATTCACTAAGTGCAGTACAGCAGAAAGAGATGGCAAAGAGTGCTCACAATCAAAAGGCAGTCGTTAATCCGTTTTTCTTTTCTTGCAATCATCCTGAGTTACTGTTTAGACAATATGTGCAACTAGACTCTCTGTAGCTGTATTAGACATTGCATTCCAAGTGATGTGAATTGTGCGTTCTCTGCATGACAAATGGTAGATTTTAGTCTCATAAATAAAACCTGTCTGAAAAATATATCTAAAAAATGATGACATGACAGTAGCAAATTGACAAAAACGCATGCTCAGTATTAGGACACAGTTGATCGTTCCATACTCCTGCAAGTTTGCAATAGTGCCACTCTTTCTGTCTCGATATATTTACCGACTGTGACCATCTTGTTGTATAATAATGCAAAAGGAATTTCAAAAAAAGTGAGATAAAGTTTAAAAAAAAGAGGACTTGGGGTTGTGTTGCAAAAAAAAAAAGACCTGTTTTCTAAACAATTATGCAGTTCATCGCTGAAGATGTTGATTATGTGATGAAAGATGAAGACTGGTTGTGTACTGTATCATAGGTTTTGGATGCTATAAAAATTAATAAATAAAAGTTTGCAATGTAAAGCAAAGACGCATATTTCTGAGAGACCTTACTTTTATAAGAAGACTGTATCTGTAAGTTTATTTTCCCCATGTGGTTTGTTATTGGTAGAAATACTGAAAACTATTCTAAAGCAAAACAAAAAACACAAAAGTTTTCCTTCTTTCGTTCTTTCGTTCTTTTTTATTATTATTTTTTTAGCTTCTGTACTTTAGAGCTATGCACACCAAATCACCAAAATGTTCCAGTAGTTCCAGTAAAATGATGAAATACCCCAAACCTGAATGGCACAATAGTTTAAACTGTGAGATCGATGTCCTCAGTGCATGTCATAGTAACGACTCCCTCTCTGTATCCTGTCAGTGTGTGAAGTGGTGGACATTTTGTAGCTAGCTGAATTGATTAAAAGTAATAAACTTTAGTCGCACCTGTGTCTGTTTTCATTGCTCAGAGGCTTTTTTGTCTCTAACTCTAAAGTCCAGGTCGACAATTTCATATAATTAAATTTCCCTTTTAGGCTTTTGTGTAAAATCTCACTGATGCAGCAGATGCTTCACTTTATGTCCACACTTTGTCTGGAAATCTAATAGGTACAAAGTTGAGGTTTATTGTTACAAATATTTTTGTGTGAAAACATTTTATTAAAATACTATCAATGCAGAACTTCTGTGCGGAACTCTTGGAAAGCTTTCGAAGTGCAGCAGAGTTCTTTCACAATACATAMAACGGTTACATTCTTTACAAATCAGTAATTCCACATGGTGGTTAGATAATGTAGTTTAAATCCACTATAAATTTTTAAAGCTGTAATACCTGGAAAACCAAGTAAAACCAATAGACCTGTAGTGATTTATTCACCTTCTCATAATAAAAGTTATAAGGAAATTCACAGGTTCTTCTTATATACTGTATATCTCTTCCGTGCAAAAATGAATGAAAAAAACACATAAGATGAGCGTACTCTGTGACTCGTTTCATCTAACAATAAATGTGATAATTTATTTACAGAATCAAAACAAATCACTAATATACAGCTTATTGTGAGATTAATTTCCTATAAAAATTTTAACAACAAACTTTGAGGTTCAGATGTTAATAAAACATTTGTTTGCGGCACTTTTTCTTAAGTTTTGGCAGGGCAGATTCAAGAAAGGAAGAAGAAGAGGATTAGTTTTTAACTTTATCTTTAAAAATGTGGATTTTAACCAGAAAGGGCATTCGTCTCTCAACGTATCCAGCCAGACCTCAGGTACGCTCAGTAACAAACAGCCATTACCTTGATCGGGGATAGTTTCACCCACCACGGCTCAAGTTGGAGGAAAGATCGTCCAATTGGTGAAGAACTTCTCGGAACCTCATCCAGTTGGACACTTTCGAGGTGTGTTTATGTTACTCCTTCAGCGTCTCCTGGGCCGCTTTGATCAAAGATGAAGCACTTCTC